TGAATTTTGAAAAGGATTGAAGCAAAAAATGAGTTCAAACTTTTTCGGAAATGCTTCCAATAGCCTCGTGAACAATTTTAAATTTCGTTCCTTTTTGAATCTTTATCTTTTTTGAATCGAGAATACGTAAGACAGAATAAATTCGAAAGTGCATCGCATAACCCGACCAAAAGTTTAGAACACCTAATTTGGATAATACTATTCAAACCTTTCATCTAAGAGAAAGTTCAAAATGCAAACCCGGAATGCTGCTATTTTAAATTCCATTACAATTTCAAATGTTCCTCATGAATAATGTAGAGACGTTTCAAAGTACTTTTTCTGGTGAATGAGTACTTGCTGGAGCTGCAGCAAAAAGTTGAAATTTTTCACAAAAAAGATTCAAACTGTGCTCCTCTCAAGCTCATAAATTGTTTTTCAAATGCAGTGATTAAGAACATATTTTGAGGCAAGTCTGAAATATCACTCTGAAGTCTAAAAAAAAAAAGCACACTTTTTATGGCTGATTTATAGTCCCACTCATTTCAATCTGAGGGTAATTGTTACAATTATTTACAGAACCATCCTAGCCATAAGTGAAATCAAGTTAATATCTAGGATTTTAACTGAATGAGCTGTGAATTTGTGAAAATACTATTTTTGTCAATCAGAATTTATACTGTGAATAAATTGTCCAGACTGCACAGGTTGTACCTTGCAATTTTACCCAAATCTGTGGCCAAACTAGGGTTGAATTTCAAAGCAGTCAAATTCCAAAATAATTTTTGAAATTCAAAAATAGCAATACAAAAATGCAAGAAAGCGGCCAAAGAAGGTAAAATTGCTGGGGAAAAGATCAAATTGCAAGTCAACCTCTCTGAAAATTTGACCATAAAATTGCAGGCCAGTCAAATTGCAGGAGTTCAAATTGCAAGGTACCACCTGATGCACAACTCTTCCATTTTCTAGATTTCAAAAAATAGCTGAATTATTCAGAAACTTTGGAAAATATGGTTAATTAAGATTAAGAAGGTGTCACAACACTTTTCTCAAGGGTAGGGTGAATTTTTATTACTAAATGAATGATTTTTACATTGATCATTTAACATGATTTTTGGAAATTAGATTTCTTATGAAACTGGATGAAGTATGTTAACCAAACCACTACCTTGACCAATCAGTCAAAGGGATACATTATTAATGTTATACTTCATTCTGCACATGTTTTTTAGACAGTACAGTACTTTATTTGATATAATTTATGAGCGCTCTATCCAGAAAGGAAATAAAAATAAGACTTTTGTGCTTGTCTGTGTGTGTGTGTTTGTGTTATTTTCACTTGCTGATGCAGCACATGAACATTTTTTATCCCAAACTTGAACTACTCGAAAAAGTTACGTCTTATTTTTGTCGTAAGGTTGTAAAAACTTACTGTTTGTAGAGTACTTTTACCTACTTCGTACAATTGGTTCGGTGGTAATTCTGGGGAGTTCATGTTTCAGCAGAGTGACGACCGCAAAGCACAGTTTTAAAACTTTCAAATATATTCTGGGGCCAGCCCAGGAAGGAAACAGTCTTCATTATTTCAATACTTTAATTATTATTATATGTGTACATATGCCCTTTTTTTGTACTTTTCTTTGCAAAGTTGTAAACATATTTCGTGTTTATCTTCTCACTTGCTGTTGCAGCAGCAGCAGCAGCACAGCTGCAGCCATGAGGCACAATGTCAGCAATAAAAGCAGTGTTGTTGTTGGTGACGGCATGAAAGACCCGGGAAGAGGAGTGAGTTGCGTAAGGTTGTTGTTGTTCACGCCGACTACAGGTTGTGAACCGGGTAGGTGTGGTACTGAAAAACAAGTGTTGTGGCGCTAATAAAAGAACGAGGCTGAAAGGCGGTAAGTAGCACTTTTTTTTTCTTTTTTGAATCACAGAATGTCAATAATGCACACTTGCACCTCTCCAAATCAAATTTTTGATGGGACTATAAATAATTTCAAGTTATCAAGATTTTGAGAAGGCATTTGGGTTGGACAGTTGAATACATACAGCACAGCTCAGCCTAAATCCAAGAAAAAATAAATTGGAGGGGACTCCAGAAGATTGTAACTGATTAAGTTTTTGAGTTCAGGCATTTGGATTAATTTGGGTAGGACAATTGATTATACACTTGAACCTCTCCAATTCAAAGATGGAGAGACTTTGAATACTTTCAACTTATAAAGTTTTTTTTAGTTAGAACCCTTGGCTTCACTAATTTTTTCTTCTGAGAACGGCCATTGATTAAGTTAAATATACAGTTGAGCATTTCCAAGTCAAGTTTGGTAGGATTCTAAATACAAGTGGTATCTTGCAATTTGACCTCCCACAATTTGACCATCCTGCAATTCAATGGTCAAATTTGCTGGGAGGTTGACTCTCAATTTGATCTCTGCTGCACAATTTTACCTGCATGAAATGTCAAATTTCATGTCAAAAACATGCTGTTTGACCTTTTCCTGTAATTTGAATGCTTTTCAATTCAATCCTAGTCCAGCTTGTCTAATCTTAGTTTAACGTTCCATTGTGGAAATTAACTTTTAATGGGTCAAAAACTCAATACCGTAAACTGAACCCATTCTGTCATCTTATATACGTCAACTAGGACGTATTCAGTTTCAAACTATGCATTTCAAAAGATTTCAACTGATGAGCTTTTTGAGTCATTTGGGTACTTTAGGCCAATCAATGGTAATTAATGTATTCAATCAATAACTACCCTATATATGGTATTTTTCTCTAAAAATGAGGCACAAAAAAGGGGAATGTGCATCATACTCAAGTATTGTACAAAAATTTCCAGCACATTTTCAACAAATTTGGTGTTTGCATCACATTACAGAGATCAATCACAAAACAGAAAGAAAATTGAATTCTCAGTTCATTTGATTAAAAGTTGGTGAAAAAAATTAATGAAAGATTTGTATCTGACACAAAAAGACATGACACTTGAGTAAATGAAATATTTTCTGGACAATTTATCATAAATTTGAATTATTCATTGACGTCCTACCTGAAGGAAAATGCCTTGATCCCTCATGGTAAGCATTAAGAAAATAATTTGCACCTGTCTTCCTGAAGTTGTCATTAAAACACTTTATCACATTTTGATGACACAAGACCCCTATAAATTCGTAAGGGAGGTTTACAGCACAAAAACTTGGCAGTTACTCCACTGAGGCTTAAATGACACAAGACTTCCGGGACTTGGCTAGGAAATCACTGAAATTTTAAATTCGGTTGGTTTTGAAATAGGGAGCTTTGACATATTGGCATGAAAGGTTCATCTGCAGTTTTAATATGAACTTTTTTCAAGTTTCACTGAATTGCGTTACATCGCGCACAGCGTAAAAAGCTTCCTTTTACATATAAATCTTGTTTTTATTTTATATATATATATATATATATTTTTTTTTTTTTAATCACACACAGTTGGTGGGATTCAACTGCGCACTGCGTAAAAAGCTTCCTTTTTCTTATAAATCTTGTTTTTATTTTATATATACTGTATACATATTTTTTTTTAATCACACACTTGGCGGAATTTAACTGCGCATTCGGGTCAGAGCACTGGGTCAACGGGATGCACGGTTAACTATTTTTTTCCTTCTCTTTTCTTAAGGCCCTCCTTCGTTTTCCTTCGCCGGAAGTTTTTGGGTTGCGCACGAACAGGAAGGAAGGTTCACCTGACGCACTCTCGGCTCCTCGCTGACGACTACCAGCTGTTGCCAACCCCGAAGAAGGGGCTGGCACCTGTACGGAGAACCCGGACAACAAAAGCTGATCGACGAATAAAAAAAAACCAGACTTTTGCTTTTTTGTATAAAGCATTTTTCTATGAGGGTGAACTCTCTCCCTGCTGAAACGATTGCAGATGGATTTGCCTTCATTTCGCTGGTGATTTCCGAGTATTTTTTCCATCGTTTTTCTGCATTTTATGTCGCATCCATTTTTGGAATAAAATCTTGAGACGCTCGGAAATGAGCTTGTGAGCATCGAATATGTTCATTTTAAATATCAGGCTCGAAGGAATTCGGGATTTTTTTTTTAGCATTAATAATTGAATGCATTATCTGTCAGGCTCAGGATGAAAATCAATAATTCAAGACGGATGTTGCTGGATAAGGTGGGACAGCGTTTTTTCTCTATTGTATGTTGCATATCCTTTTCAAAAGGAAATTCCGAAAAACAAATACTTTACAGACAAAATAGTTGCTCATAGGAAGATTTTACTTGCATCTGCTGGGATGTTTAAACAATTCATCAAATTGTCTTTATGGTGAAAAGTAGCCAGAAAAATTCTTGAATTAAAAAAGAGAGTTTTGGTTATACCCTCTAATAAACAGTGATTAGAATTTTCTTCATAACAATAATTCAGGCGTTTTATTGGGAAAATTTTCACATATTGAGTGAAATATTTTTCGTCTCTCCTCTCTTTGACACATGATTGAAAACATCCGATTTTCAAAATATTGCTGATACTTTTCCCAGAAAAAAATTCCAGCGCGATACCATGTAGATATAATAAATTCTAGTTTTTACTTGCAATTTTACATGAGTCATCAATCCATCATATAAAAATGCCTTACCAAAAATTCTCCAAGAATTTTGCACAAGGA